CGCACACAATTACTAACCTTGCTGGCGCCTGTGGGGAAAATGGTCCGCAGGTTCTCCCTGTCCTCCTTCATCTTCTCAAATTCCCTCTCCAGGGCACTCTGCACATGGGCGCTTGTCTGCACTTCTTTGACCACGTCTTCTTGCAGCACCCGTCGCAATGCGCGGTCATTAGTGCAATCAAATCTGAACCTACGAAGATTGGACAACAAGACATCTTTGAGCACGGTGTTTGGTGCGAGAAGACAAACAATATATTTGTATAAAAGTGTTTGACTCACTTCTTTTCAAAGGCCCTGTGAGATGGTTTGATTGTTACCAGATTTTGGAACTCTACGTTCTCTCCGGCCAGGCCGTCCTCGCCGTAGCGCAGTTGCACCACCTGGTTGATGGAGTTACGCACAGTGCCATCGTACTTGACCATTACAGACTCCATGGACTTGATCAGACGACGCTGGATGTAACCTGGAAAAGAAGGAAAGATATTTTTATGGCTACTTAAAAAACCCTAATCTCACTTTATCGTTCTAATCACATCCAGATGACTTAAGCTCACCTGTCTCAGCAGTCTTGACAGCTGTATCAATCAGACCCTCTCTGCCTCCCATGGCATGGAAGAAGAACTCTGTGGGTGTCAGTCCAGCCAGGTACGAGTTCTCCACAAAGCCTCTGCTCTCAGGACCGTAGTCGTCCTTGATGAAGTGAGGCAGTGTTCGATGTTTGAAGCCAAAGGGAATTCTTTTACCTTCAACATTCTGTTGCCCCACCACAGCAATAACCTATGAAAGGGAAGGAAAAGAGGATACATGTCAAAATGTAATCTAATGTACATTCTGGATTAAAACAAAGCTGAAAATGTAGAGGCTCAAACCTGTGAGATGTTAATCTTTGAACCTTTTGAACCAGCCACCACCATGGACTTGAAGTTGTTGTACTCGGACAGAGACTTTTGGGCAGAGGAACCCGTTTTGTCACGAGCGTCATTGAGGATACGATTCACTTGGTTCTCAAACGTTTGCCTCAGTGTGTTACCATGAGTCGGCTCCAGCTCGTTGTTGTGGGCTTTCTCAATGACCTTGGTGACGACAAATAGAATTAACTCTATTGTCTGTTGAACAGTCCACAAATGCAAACATTTCACTTGTAGATTTTGTGCTTACTTCTATCACATCCTGTTTGGCTTTCTTGATGGTGTTCTGAATGTCAAGGTAAGTTTTGGCATCAGCAATTGAGTCACCAATACCAATGGAATGACCTAGAAAGACAGAAACATGTTAATTCAGTATGAAAAACCAGAGTGGGCTTGACTTTATACAACGTATGGATATATTTTATATATAAGGTTAAGATTAACATTAAATTCTCACATCTTACCTTCAATAAGCAGCCAGTTGTTGACTACAGTCTGAATGTTGGAGTAGAAGAGTCTAGTGATGTCATGACCCATCTCTAGGTAGGAAATGTGGACGAGGGAGCCAGCCGACGTTCCAAGAGACTTCTTGCACAGGATTCCCATGATCAATTCACCGTTCTCCACAACAACCTACATCAGTAAAAAAAAAAAAAGTTTAATTGCACTGTAACACACACTTGCTATCTCTTTGTCATAACAACTGATGCCATGTACCTTTGTGTCCCCTGGTGAGATGTGCTTGTATTGACCGCTGTCCTCCTCGTCAGGGTGGGTGCTGTGGGTTCGGATAACGTTGATGTGTCCAGGAATGATAAGACTGAAGATCTGCTTGCCCGTCCACAGAGGACGTGGTTTAAGGATGGCCGGCTGAGGCACTTTCCCATCCCAGGTGGACAGGAACATGAGGAGGTTCATGACTTCACCCTGCAACAGCAGAACACACAGAGTGAGTAAAACAACAACACTTTAGAAATGTTACAGCCAACACTACCACCCTTACCCTCTCTAAGAAGACATCTCTTTTGGTGAACTTGCGCACAGCTGTAAGTGTGTCCTGCACAATACCCATGACAGGTCTGTTGGACTGTGGTGTAACAATCATACGGGGCACCATGGCCAGCTCCTGAATTTCTGCCCTGGTCTCTAGGGACTGAGGCAAGTGGAGGTTCATCTCATCTCCATCAAAGTCAGCATTGTATGGAGTAGTGACACTGATGGGATCAAGGACAAAATGTTAGAGCAACTGAATCTTACATTTCCTAATTCTGATGTAACCTATAGGTTAAGGGTGAAGTCGGGTCTTTGTGTGTGAATACCTCAGGTTCAGTCGAAATGTGGACCAGGGAAGAATCCGAACTCTGTGTCCCATCATAGACATTTTATGTAGTGTAGGCTGCCGATTGAAGATGACAATGTCACCGTCGCACATGTGTCTTTCAACCTGGAAGAAATAAAATGAATCTTTTAGGTAGACTAAAACTAAACATTTCACTTAGCGTAACAAGAAGAAAATTATAACTACTGCACATGGCTATGGTTTGAACATGCCTTGTAGCCAATCTGCAAATGAAGGTCACTTGGTTTTGGATGGAAGCGGAGGTCAATTCTGTCTCCATTGTCACGAATAATGTATTTGGCCCCAGGATACTGACTGTTGCCTCTCCGTACCAGCTCTTGCAGTCTACCAACAAACATATGGACACATTAGCAAGCATGAAACCTAAAATGATAAAAAAAAAAAAAGTTCAGTTTTACCTATTACACATAACAGTCTTGTTACATTTCTGGATTACCTGTCAATGTTAAAGGGTGTGACAATTTCTGGGAAAGTCATATTAGCTGCAATTGACCGCGGCACTCCCACTTGATCGATCTGCAGATTTGGGTCTGGGGTGATGACAGTTCGGGCAGAGAAGTCCACACGTTTGCCCATGAGGTTACCTCGAACTCGCCCTTCCTTTCCCTTTAACCGCTGCTTTAAAGATTTGAGAGGACGACCTGATTTTTGCATGGCCTGAAAAAAGATAATATATGACAATAAGCAAATCTGGAAAACAAGTCACAATATATTCATTAACTGCATTTTAAAAGCAGTCGTGTGCATGAATACCCTTGGAAGGCCAGGCAATTCATTGTCCACCATTGTGGCCACGTGAAATTGAAGCAACTTCACATCTTCAGCTATGACATGAGCTGCTGCACCACTCTGTTCATTTCTTCTCAGTTGGTTGTTGATCTTAACGATATCAGCAAGCTTGTGGGTCAAGTCGTCCTTCAACACAGAAGTCACAAGTTAAATATAAATAAATACAAACACCATTTAAACACAGACTTGTTTTGTGTGTAATATTATACCTGATTGCGAGCAGATCCCTGCATCACTACAGCAGGCCTCACAGCCAGTGGAGGTACAGGCAGCACGGTAACTATCATCCATTCGGGTCTGGCAAACTTGGGGTCCATGCCCAAGATGATGTCCTCCTCATCAGAGATGCGCTTGAAGATTTCATGTACACGCTCAGGACTCAGCAGGATTTTCTTTTCCTGTGAATCCTCATTCACATGCTTCCACTCTGCATACAGCTCTAATCCAGTGCGTCTGATTCTTGGTTGATAGCGTCCACAGCCACCATGACCCTAAGATAAAAATGACAAATAAAACAGCCCTAGATCAGCCAGGAATAACTGACAATTTCTATGAACACCATGACAAAAGGCTGTGCCAAAATACCTTCTCTTTGCTGATGTCCTCCTCATTCTCTTGCTGCTCAACTCCAAATTTGTTATCCATTTCTTCACCTCCTTCACATATATTTTTACCTTTGCACAGCTCGTAGACATGTGTCAAGCGCTTTCGGGGTTGCCCTTTAGATTTTACCAAAATATCTTTGATTTTAACATTGTTCTGTAAAGAGGAGGATATAGTGTTAAAAAAGAACTTGTGAAAAAAGTGATTTTGATACAAAAATACTGTATTAACATAGAAAAACTTACTGAATCCACTAATAACTTGGAGCAAAAGAAGCAGACACATCGGAGAACTTTCATTATCTTTGTTACAAAACCGACATGGAAAACTGGCTTTGCCAGTTCTATGTGTCCAAAGTGACCGGGACACTCCGTCATGTTCCCTGTAAACCATGTAATCATTATGGTTATTATATTATATAGATGATTAACTGGTGACTAATTTATTGTGTTGCAAAAGGCTGTCATTATACATTACCTGCACATGTCTGACACCGTCCTGTTCTTTCAATGACACCCTGTCTCGGGTCCATAAGGCCACCTAGTTTGGGACGTCCTCCTTCTGTTGTTTCGGGGTACTTGATCCCCCCTTCTGTAACGGACATCCGTTTCTGTGCAGGCAAAAGTTTTTACAAAAAATGAATGCTTGAATTGATGCCTTTATATGATACAGGGTACTTTATACACAATATTGAGAGAAGGGTATCCTCACAGCCTATTATGGCCATCACATCAAGAAAAACATATACAACATAATCTGGATTGCAGCAAAGTTTTCAGGTCTGAGCCTAAACTCAGACCTGATTATATTATACGTGTTTATTTTACAATTATAGAAATCTATATACAATCTTATCTATATCTAATATACTTTTAGGCAGATGCGTTCTAATAACAGTACGTGTAAATGTATTTTCACAGTAAAAATAATCTTTCAAATGTTACAATAAGTCATTACATTTTATTTTGTGATATCTAGTCACGTGTTATTTACTTGTCACATGTTATTTCTCTCCAGACGGTAAAACATGGAAACGTGTTAATTCTATTTAAAAATCTAGATATAAAAACTAAGATAAAAAAAGAAACATTTGCACTACACGATATGATTAAATTTGTACATTTTATTTGTGGCCTTTCATCAACTGAACAATCAATCGATGTCACAAGACGATCTCGGGTGAAAACTCGTTTTGTTAAACACAAAGAGCCACAAATTAAAGTCTATACTTACTTAAAAGAGGGGTTAAAGTCGTGTTAGATAAATAGGATGGGAGTTTAATTCATATCGAAGGTTGTGTAATTGTTATAATGTTGTGCTTTAAGTTTTGTTCTAACTTCTGCTACATGCTAATTAGCACAAGCTAGGCTAACAGCAAAAGCAAGCACTCCCGTTGAAAACAGAACCATGTCTTAACAGTTATGCACATAAACGACGAGAATAGATGAGAAATCGAAGTTTGGAACGTGTGTGATTTATCAATTTTTTTAATATTATAAAAGATCCCCTCTACCCCACAAAAAGAAAACCTACAAGCTCATCTGGGCTGATGATGCCGAATTGAACTCTCTTGATCGTGCGCAATGGGCATGCGCTGTCACCGGAGGGCGGTCCGTGCATCCTGTCTATTCAAAGAGACGCGTCCTTCCTCGGCACGCCGCTTTGTCAGGCAGGAACAAGCCTTGAAATTTTCAGCACGAATCGGGTCAGGCCGCCAACGGTGACCGGAAAGTCTCCGAGGGCGATGTCCCAGTGAATTCTACTATGACTGCCTTAGTTTTAACTAAGTTCCTTTGATATTAATCTGGCTAAGATCTAATCCCCTCCCTTTTCCTGATCTACACTGTGGAGCGCTCTGAGCGCTTCTGAGAGAAAACGGCAGCAACGCTTGTTTTTATAGACTGAGCGCTCACTACGGGGTTTCAAGCACAGAGTAACAGGGGCAAAGTCTTACTGAGGCGGGACATTGGACTCCAGAGTAAAACGCTCATTGGCTTAACAAGATGGCCACATTACTAATGCATCTTATCTCACGTTTCACCAATGAGAGATGGTGCTTTTTCTCTTAACGAATCACATAGGAGGGCGGGCGTCAATCCGTTTATACCTCTCTACTATTGGCTTTAACAAAACAGTGTAGGAGGAACAGAGTGCATGTCACGCTGAAAAATGAATATTCAACAACAATGCTCTTTATTCGTCGGTCTACCTATTAATATTGAACAATATAGACGGTTTCACCAATAGCCACAAAGAAATGGTTTTAATTTGCATAATTCTGACCAAACCCTTCCCCTTTCCGATGTTTGTCGAGTTCGGCCGATCCGGATTTCTTCCCTCTGAGCAAAAATAAAAAAAATCTCTGTTGTGTCGTTCGTCTCGCTCTGGATCAGCCTGGGCTCTTAGAAAAGTGGCTGAGGATCTGAGGCCTGTAAACGAGCCGCTATGTAACTGGAAGATACGTTGAAATACACGACAGTTTCTCACCCAAAACAACATAGAATGGAGTTTTTTCGAAGTCTTTTGAGGAGCATAGCAACGAAAGATTTTTTCCTTCTGTGGATTTTTACATCGGCGGGACTTTGTTAGAAGCCTCGGATTTGCCCCGACGCTGCGGCCGAGCAAAGGGCCTGGGTTTTCCGTACAACCCATAGGAAAGTGTGGGAGAAGCCTTGAATGTTGGTTTTTTGCATATTTGTGTGTATTTTGAACGCCCTTTCAAATATATATGCCGTGTTTAATTTTTTTGTTGAAAGGAATAGTCTGCATGCTCAAACGTTCTCATTTTCTTTGTTAATTGTGGTAGTTTTGTTAAGGCCATATTTGAAAGGCAGCCCAAAATCCCTTCGTTTTGGCGGCCAAGCAGCGTTTGTTCGCTCTTTAGTTTTTGATCTGTATATTTTAATAAGCACTTTGTTAAATAATGGCATGTAATCGACAAAGCGAATTTAATTTTTTTTAATCTACATAAACGGGTTCGTATGTCGCATCTTTATAATCCATTATCTATTTAGGTAGCTTAATGTATTGTTACCATATATCGACGGTATGTTTCAGACTCTTTGTGTCGGCTTTATATTTTTACAGCAAATCAATGTATGCTAATTATAAACTCTTTTCAAATAAACTCTTAATGTATGTGTTGTTCCATGGCACAACCTTTTAAGGGCTAACCAGCTAGCTGCGTACTAGTTAATCATTGGCTAAGTAAATACTTGTTCTTCCGAGCCAACTTTTATCAACTCTTTAATATAATTTCATACGTGTGTATGTTGTTATTGGTGGCATTGGAATCAAAATGTTAGTAAATAAATGTTAATAAAGCTAGCCAAACGCCGCTTCTTCATTAGCTCCCAACATGGCGGCGATTGGTTATTCTTGTAATAAGAAAGATGTAGGTGGTTGTATATTTTTTGACGTCGCTGTAGGTAGGTTAATTGAGCTTTAAAACTTAAAAAAAGAGTTTATAAATCACGAGCAACTAGATTTTTCTTGATTATTGTTATGTTTCTGTTGAAATATCGAAGTCGTCTCTTTGTTTAAGTGTCTAGACTTCTGGTCGATGTCGAAAGTTGAAGCCATTTTGCAACGTACTAGTCTAACAACCAGTCTGTTACTGTAATAAACACTCGTTAAGCTTTATTCCGTCCTTTTAAAAACGTTTTAAATTTCTTAATACGTGTTTTTCAATGTGGACTAAACCTTTTAACAAGTCGGGCGTTATGTATCTGTTGAATTATGCTGTTTACACTCAGCTATGTGTCATGATTACGTCTGGTTGTTGTAACTTTATACCGTTTAAACTTTTTAAAATAAAATCTGTATCAGTGTCATGTTCAGACACCTTTCTTACCGTTCCCGTAATAAATACAAATTTTGTGTATGAATTAACATTTTTAGGAAGAGTAATCAAGGAAATGAAAACTGAAGCCAAAGCTAGACACAATGGTTGAACCAGTTCACAATATCATTTCACTCTGGTTACATAACCTGTAACTTGATGTTGCTCCTGAAGTGGCGAAAAAGCTGTAACTTTTTTTCACTTTTTGTAACTTTGATTGTTTAAATAAAGGTATTGAACTAAACAGTTGACTCTCTGTCACCAGTTGACTGTCACCAGTTCTTAAAAACACAGCATATTGTGTTCAAACGTTTTGACTGGAATTGCTCAGTAGTTATGTGTTGCAGCCATGAACAAGCCTTGCATTTGTCGTCATCTCTTTTTTGCAGGTCTAGCAGAAAATATCGCCATTCTAGCCGTGATTTATTCAAGGTGAGAGGATACATCTACTGTACCCTTTTGCTGTGAGAAAACACATTTTCAATTGCATTAGTAAAGGGGTAACAACATGCATGTGTGGTTGGATAATGCTCAGAGAAATGTGACAGTGGAATACTTTGTTCACCATGTGCCATGCAATACCATGACCGTACAGAGAACTCATTATCGAGGAGCTTGGCTCCCTCCTCTGGTAGAAACAAGAACAATCAGCATTTGCAAGCTGCGTGGTGCAGAAGCGGCTCCCACCATTATTTCACGTCTACACTTCAGAAAGGTTAGTACATGGGCTGGAATAAAAGGTTGTGCGTGTATATATAGGTTGATAAAATGTCGACTACATGGACTTTGTTTTTACCATGAGCAGTGCGTATAAACCTCAATTTAATAACGTATTCCGACTAATTTTGAATCTAATCTCTGCGTATTTTTGTAAGTAATTATACTGGAGAAGACCATAGTGGAGATGTACAGGATAATATTTTTGGTTGTTTGTTTGTTTGTTTGTTTTAAATTCCCTTTCAAAAATGAGAGTTTAAAACGGGTGGATGTACTTTTAGAGCAGCGGTCACACACACACATATAGTATATATATTTATATAACAAACGATTTATTTCAGAAAATTATCTTTAGTTTCTACTTTGTTAATTCTACTATGTAAATGTGAGCAGTGTGATTTAGAGAGACAGAGACAGATAGTCAACCTACACGTATATGTCCTCTAAGCATGATTTCTCGTAAACGGTAGGTTTTCTTTTACTGTAGAGGGAGCTCTTGTATGATGATGTCACAGACTGTGTACATGGGTTGGTGAAGAGGTCGCGGAGGGAGGGTCTTTGTAACAGGATACAAACTGAACTAGAAGAGGGGGGACAGCTGCAGGCGGGGTGATGAGAAGAGTAGAGCTTTTATAATAAAATTAAAACTATACTTAGATTTTAGTTGCTATATTCTGCACCAGATGTTTATAAAAAGTATTTGCTAAAACTATTTTATGGCTCTTATTTGCCATAGTATAGTTTGTTTCTTTATATTTTTGGTCCTTTATATATATGTAAAATGTCCAGCCCTGTTTTAGGATAGCAATTTAAGTTTTGAAGTTGGCAACTGAAATATGCAATGTTGCACTTTTTTATTAGATCCTGGAGATAAACATAAGTAGATTGTAGTATGTATTTCTCTATTACACATCGTGATGTTGTTTTGCAATGAAAATGAGTGATGCAAGGCTGGAGGCATGCTCTACAAGAGCCCATTGGAACAGAACAACTCTTTTCTGTCTGCAAGAGAATGTCCTGTTCTCCGGGTGTTTGTTTTGGCTGATGTCAGCCCCTGCCAAGTGTCCTCATCTTTATTGTATTCTTCCTTTTATCATCCACACACACTCTTGTCAAGCTAATCTGCTCAATTTTTTTTCAAAGCGTCTCTTAGACATTAGCCGTGGACAGATAAAGTTATTCTGTGTAAGGTTCAGAGGACGCAGCGGTTTTGTAGTGGTTCTACATTTTGTTAAGTTCTTCACTCTCTTCCTGGAACTCTGTGTGCTAAATTAATTGCTCTTGATCCCATGTTGCATTGCAAGCGGCTTAGTGCTAATCTGGGTTTCTCTCTGTGCCGCCAAGTCTTGTCTAGGCAACCTGCCGCACTAAACTCCACCACTCTCTTCTCCATGCTCCTGACCTATGGTGCTCTCTCCCAGGATTTCCTTTGCTATGCATTTCATTTTCCCTCTCCCATTCTTACTTATTTTAAAAAGTTCTGAAGCTCTATTCATTAGTGTGAATCTACTTTTTTTCTACTTCTTTTTATTTAAACTCTAGACACAACCCTTTCTCCAATTAATTCTCCCTAATATGCAGATTCTTAATTTTTTTATCCCTCCCTCTTGCTGTTTTTAGTTCCTTTTCCGCATCCCCCTTCTCTGTTCCTCTTTCCTACACACTTGCTGTTTTGGCTCCCTTTTGTATATATTAATCTTTTCCCCTCATTTCCCAGTTTTTATTGTGTGCTTTACTGCTCCTAAACTTTTCTGTTCCATCACACAGGGCCCTCGCCTCTGACCATCTGCCTCACTTTGTTCTCCCCTCCGTGCGGCTTCTTTCTCACATTGTCCAGTTGTTGCTGTTCTGTTTTTCTTTCTGTCTGTCTCTCGATACTTCCTTAGCTACTTGTGTTTTGGCAAGTTCCCAATAAGGTGTTTGTTTGATATTTAAAGGGACATGCCGAGAAGCAGGCATGTTTACAGTACACCCAAAATAAAGGCTGTCTAGAAACAGGAAGTACCATCGCCCTGAAGCGCAGCAGCGCACGGCGTCGGCCAATATGTAGCCACTTCCTCCTCCTCCTCCGCCTCACCAGAGGCTCCAGCAAAACAACCCTCATGCTTATCAGAGCATTATGCACCCCTCCCATCTGCTGCCTGTCCTCTTGAATGGCGCACATACGCAGCAGGCTTTTCACCCCTCCACACTGGACTATCTCCCCTTCTCTTTTGCTTCCAGCCCCATTCTTTCTCCCACCGAATGTTGGTCTTCGCCAGTTCAACATGCCTGAGTAGCTGCCTGGAGATGAAGGAGCTAATTAATTTGATTTAACCGTTCTCTCTGGCAGTGGAAAAAACACCCCTCCACCCGCGCTTTTCCCCTTCCACTCCATATCAAGCACCCCTCCCAGATGATTTTCCACCTATCCTTTCCATTCCCCTTTGGCAACATCCAGACAAACCCTTTGCTTCCTCTTCTCCTCGCCGTGTCCTTTCTGTTACACAACCATATTTTGCTAGCGGCTTTATTGCATATCAGAGTGATTGTTAATGGTGTGTTATTTGTAATGTTGTATGTCATATTTCCACCTGATACCCTCAGACGTTTTGCCCTCTTGTTGTGCACAGGGATGGTTTTTGTGACTCAGCAGAGCTGTGACCCACACAGTGACGTGCTTGTTGCAACTCACCATGGCAGCTTCAGGGACGTGCCTGTTGGGTTTATGGTTGTGCAAAAAACTTCATGGTTATTCATGTAGGAGCCAGTATTGAAAAACTAGACAGTTGACACTGACGTGACAGACATCACATTGAAATTTACAGCATGGAGTGTTGAATTCTGAGGAATAGCTAACGAGTGGTTGGCTATGTAAGGCCCCCATTGTTGTCCTATATGTGTGGCACAGCGGAATTCACAGTTTTGTTATGAGGTAAAATGTACTTTTCTTTTTATAGTTTCAGATTAGTGATTTCATCAATAATGAAACTTACAAGTTTCCATTCAAATGCAGTTGTTCATTCAACTGTGATTAACCTAAATAACATGATGTGAGTCATGTTAAGACAAGATTTGTGGTTCCGTCATGTCAAAGAAAGAATAGTTAATAATAGAAAAAATAGTTTCCGCTTGTTATGTTTGTTTTGCAATCTTTTTTTTCTTTTTTTCCTTATTCCTTTATTTGACCTAAAAAAAATCTCTGTGGTCTGTTTGATGAGATTTATTACAGTCTGTGAGCAATGTATGAACTAACTGTTTTAGCAGAATTGTCTTTTAACTACAAAGTGATGTACAGTTCCCTGGTTTTGTTCAATGGCATCTCAAAATAAGGTGCAAAACATAAATTTTTATGTTCCGTCATAAGTCTCCTAATTAGAAAAACATGTGAAAGAGATGAGATACATAAAGCAGCTTGTTATGTAGACAGTTTTCTAACTTGAATTATACAGTATAACCTTCCTAAGGTTAAAGAGTAATTGCACACAAATATTCCTGACAGTAAAACCTGGTTTTAGTGACCTCTGGAATAGAAGTTTAAAAACCCTGCTGGACCTCTCGCCATGTGGTTTGACATGTTTCCATGGGAGAGAGGATGTTGGGGCAGAGCTCTAATATTCAGATTTTCATTGGCACAGTCAAAGTCCACTTCACTGTTGCCAAGCTGAAGCCTGGTCGCCTCAAGGACTCCTATAACATTTTATTAGATGGGGTTTTCTTCAGTATGTGATGTGGAAGAAAGGGTTTTTCTAGACTAGAGCAAAAAAGTTTTGATTTTTCAAAGAGAAAAATATATAAAAATGAGCATTTGACAGATTTCTGGCACTTGAGGACACTTGATGGACTAATATAGCAGAGGCCAAGATGACAGACTCAGACAAAATGCTTTGGTGTTATGTTGTAATCATTGGCTTTTCATTTGTATGTTTTTAAAAATACTGATTAAAAAAAAAATCCTGACATGAACCTTTGAAAACATTTAATTTCTGCAATGAGATTCATAGAATAGTTATCAGGCTTTTTTCTGCAGTGGTGCCTTATGTTAAATATGCATTTCAGTTGCGAACAGTTTCTGTTCCTTGTTACTCAGGTGTTGCTCTGATTTTCAGTAAACAGCAGAGAACATGCTTGAACACATCTCTTGGAAGGACACATCGGGTTATTCATAGAACAGGCTCTCTATCTGTTAGACAGTACAGAGGACCTAAAGCACTTCACTGTTTGTTTGACGTCTGGCACCAACTGTAAACATTTGTCATGTTTATCTGTGCAAATTTGAACATATTGTATGTTCCGTAGGGGACCACGTCATTGTCCCATTACCTTGTACGAGCCACAGACACAGGGCTTGCTTTGCCGTCCTTGTAAATACACGGCTTTGTCTTTAAGAATCCACTGACATTTGAACTGCACCGTCGTCATTCGACTTCCCACTTTGATCTGAGTCCAAGTCAGCAGAAGAGCAGGTTAGTCATTGCTTCCTTTAGACTACTGAGGATGTTAACAAATGCTTGCTAATGCCTCTGGGTTTGTCAGATATTATGTCATTATTACAAATTTAGTCTGAATTTCTTAGGTAATAAGACTGATCTTCTCATAGGAAACGAGCAATAATTAAATAGATCCAACAAAATATATATATGTTGAATGTTCTTTTTGAACAGCATTTCTACCTCTTTAAACTTACATTTTTCTATAGTCAGGTACAACCTTTGATTACAACTTCCAATTATGCATTTTTTCTGCCAATAAAGAATTTTGGAACTGGACAAAATAGGGTTTCCTTTCACAGACGGGTTACTTTGTTAGCTGTCACCAGCAGGGTAGCATTAAAAGAGCTTTTACTACTCTGACTGTGGCAATTACATTCTTTATTTATGATTCTATTCTGTTATGTCTTCTAGGAACTATCTAGAAACAATAAAACTTTAATATTATAAAAGTTTTTTTATATGTTATTCTATTCAAATTGCGGCCTATGGGCCACCTGCAGACCACAGACAGCCTCTCAGTGGCCCA